TCTGTGTTCTGTCATTGGGTATTTCATAATGATAAATTATTATTCAGGGTTAGATGTGTTATGCATTTATTTCTAAATGTATTTACAACTGTACAGTACAGGTGAAGATATATAACTGGGAGAAAGACATTGGTCATGAACCAAAAGAAAAAAAAAGAAAAGCAACTGCTAATTGAAGCTTAGTAGCATCATAATGATTATAAATTGATATATGCTAGACTGCTGGATAAAATGTGAATTTTTATATGATATCGGTAAAAAGCATCAAGGGGTGATTGGCTCTGTCTGGGGGGGCTGAAGCCTATCCCAGCTGTCTTGGGGCAGGGAGCACCCTGGACAGGTCACCAGTCTGCCACAGAGCTAACAGACAGGCAAGTTAGAGTCAACAATTAACATGTCCCCACTAACTGCATTATTGTTTACAGAATACCTAGAAAGGGGAGAACATGCAAAATCCACACAGAAAGACCCCAGCCTGATGGTGGAACTGAACTCAGGACCTTCTTACTGTGAGGCAGCGCCGCTAGCCACTGTGCCAGCAGGGTGATTCATCTGATGAAAATGTATATACAGACTAAATAAGTTATACTTACAACATAGTAATTGCACATTTTGCTTACATTTTTGTTTCTTTATCTCATACTATTTCACCTCAGTATTCAAAACGGACATCTCCTTACTATGATTGGTGTTCGCTGATTTTACGTCTTTTTCCAAAACTTTTAGTTTCATATAAGAACACACAAATCCACACTGTGAGTCAAAGAGACACCAAAAACAAGACAGCACCGATCTAATGTATCACAGCATTTGTACAGTTAGCCATTTCCATTAGATTAATAAGAACAGTTTAATTGCTATATTCATTATAAAGATTTACTCTGGAGTAATATTTACAGCCAAAAGCAATTTGACATCTTTTTTTTAAATATTATTTACCGTTTTGTATTTTTGTAAAATGGTTTGTTACATCACTGTCTGCCTTATACCACAGGATTCAAAGCTTTGTTTGCTCTGTCTGGTGTGTCTTCTCTTCGTGGAAGGCAGTCTCCATACTTTTTAGAATGGATTTTCTGACTTCATTCTTAAAATCTTGTGTGATGAACACATACAGTAGTGGGTTCATGCAACTATTTAGAACAGCCAAATTGTTGCTGAGAGGTATCCCAATATCAATAATGTGGAGTAATGTTTTACTCTGAGTATCAGCTGTGAAGATAACCAGCTCAATTAGACCTATAATATGAAAGGGAGCCCAGCACACGAAAAAACAGATGATAATAGCAGCAATAATTTTAAAGGCGCGACTTGACTGGCTAGCCAGGTTGCGGTTTCTCCTGACATGATGGATGATGACACCATAACAAGAGACAATGACAGTGAAGGGGACTGCAAATCCTAGGAGGAAGTTGGTGATGACAATGGCTTGAAATCGTATGTTGTAGTCGAAAAGAGTGTCAAAGCAGATTATTTTGTCTCCAGAATGTTGCTCGGTGTCCATGAAGTAAAGGTACGGAGCATTGAGAATCAAAGCCAGTATCCAAACACACAGACTCACATGGGATGACTTGCGTACATTTCTGTAGTTCTGAGCCCACACGGGCCACACCACAGACACACATCTGTCCACACTGATCACCAGCAGAATGTAGACACTGACAAACATGTTCAGAGAGATTAGAGTGGTGCTCAGCTTGCACATGAAATTGCCAAAGGGCCAGTGAGACCCTAAAGCTAAGAAAGTCACATCAAAGGGCAGAAATGCTGCGACGAGAAAGTCAGCCACAGCAAGATTGAGGTACCAAACTGTGTTAACAGTTTTGTTCATCTTGAACCCGGTGACCCAGATAACCACTCCATTCCCCAGCATGCCAAGAACAGAGACCAGGGAGAAAACAGCGATAGACATGGCATCAAATGACTGAAACAACTGAGCAAAGTCATTCAAGTCGTAGTCATCAGTTTTTTCAGAGTCATTTCCATGAGTAGCAGTAGCTGTAGTTCTCTGATCAAAATAGTGAGTAGTCATCTCCATGATTGTCTTGAGACCTGCAGTAGCCATGCAACAAACAAACAAACAAACAAACAAACAAACAATTTCAATGCATTGTCATTTATAGTTATTCTAATCCATGAAATATCTCCTTGATGTCTAGTAGAGCTGAAGTTCCAACACAACTTAAGACTAACCATATCAGCACTTGGTTTTAATTAAGCTATCAGAAATTTTAATATGTAGAGATAAACAATAAAATATAAATACAGGGTTAACTATAAAGTTATGGCCACGTCTGGGACATGCTTGTTGTTGATCTAGTGACTCATTAAACTACTAACGTTATCGGTGAGAGGCATTTGAAAATAAAACCAAAGCATTCATTTTCCAAACAAGTAGACACAAGCATGAAAAGAGACATAATTTGGTTGCCAGCGGTTTTTTCAAAAGATTTAAAAGATGTAATTTTAAACCAACCTGAATGATTGCTTATGTGGATTTATTTTTAAAAATCCACAGTTGATCCGTTTTTATAATGCAGCTTGATGCAATTTATTTGCAGACATTGAAATATTTGAATTCAAACTCACATTGCCCTCTTTTTACATCGTGCCCACTCGTTACATTGACCTATTCTGTAATATGCAAGCGTTAAAACTTTGCTTCATGTTTGCTTTGAGGGCACCTTAATACGCTATAGCAGCGGTTTTACAGCTATTAGGCAAAGGCATAACATTTTCTACACTGTCACTGTCTAACCAGAGTTTTGTTGTAAATTAGAATTATGACAAAATATACAATGAATTACTCCATAACTTCAGACAAAAGCAGTACTGTCACTTAAATAAATCAATTTAACTCATTTCCTTAATTTTAATAAATTACCTTAATTTAATTAAAATCCAGCGCTGGTTAAATCCTCCATAGCAAATAACCAATGATTTTACAATCCTGAAATAGGGGGAAACTCCCACTGGGTTTAAATCTGGGACTCTCCTTCTCGGATGAGAGGTGAAACGTCTTCAAGCAACTTAAAGAAGTCCAGACGCTTTTCTTTCCAACTCCTTAGACTACAATGACCTGTATGACTGAGAACCGTCACAGACAAACATTATGTACCTTTTTCTTAATAGTTGTTGAGGAATTCCCTGCAGAGGAATGTCTGATCAAACTGACTGCTTAATATGACTGCCTATAAAGCAAGAGAAAGAGACGGGGAGAGGGAGACGGGTAATCAAAATATATCTGTATCTGCAGAGTTTAGTGGTTAACATTTTTGCCTAACAGATCCTGCAGCAAAATAACAAAGGTTATGTACCTTAAGTAAAGTTGTCTTGTTGGTTTTGGATGGACTGATTGTAGAAAAATACCTAATAAAGATTTGACAGGTTAATATAACTCTGTGCAAGGGGTGGGGGGCTGACTGTTGTTGTCACTGTATCATTACAAAGTCATTACAAAAAAGACTGTTGAATTTCTCTGCAGGCTGAAGATGACTAAATTTGGATATGTATATAGTTTGTATTGCAACAGTATGACTCTGTCAGAATTTTGCAAAGTTGTGAAACTCTGAGTTCAACTATTTTGTTGTTTCATGTGTGTGGTAAGTATTAAGTTTTATTTGAAAGTCAGAGAGACCAAAAGAACTAAACTGGACAAGCCTTGTACAGTTAAATAATCTTAACGCAAAAGAAAGAAAAATAATAAATCCACACAAAACTCCAAACACTGTGTCAAAGACTCAGCACCGTGACAGTGATAGTGCTTGTGTTAAGCCACCAACTCTAAAACCATCCTCTGACTCTCTTCTTCATGTGCACCATGTATCATCATTCATCATGTATCAGATTCTCCCATGATCTCTGAAAGATGGGCAGGTGCCTGGATTTTTGGGGACTGGGGGGAACATAGTGTGTAGATACTCTGCTAAGTCACTGTGTTTGAGTCACATTGAGAAAAGTAACCAAATTTCATCCTAAAAGAATGACAGAGTATTTTTTTTACTACTGTCAAACATAAAAATTGGTAAAATTTTACCTGAACAGTATGGCAGAGGAAGTATAGACTACAATATTGTAGCCTTTGGAGAAGCACCTGTACCGTTGTCAGTTTTGTTTCATTCTGTTGACGGAACCATAAAAGTAGGTTTTCAGTTCAATAAAGAAATAAGGATTACAATATGAAATTATTTGTGGCCAGTGCCATACACGGTAATCGTGGCTGCCTGATGCTGGGTGAGAAGATGAATTTTATTGATTGTGCAGTGGACGGGTAACTCTATTTCACTGAGTGGAAAACTAGATGTTTTCTCAAATCAATAAAAAAAAAATAAAAATAAAACAAAGAAAAGAAAAGTTTTACTAGGTCTGACTGATTGCTACCGAAAAAAAAAAGTATATAATAAATCACAGTTCATCAACAGATGCATCATCTATCACTGTTTTTCTGTTTTGATGTTTTTATCTTTTCATTTTTTTGAAAACTTTAAATCTTTTTATTTTAATTGTTTTAAAATTGTATGCAGAGCAGATGGCTGCTGTTGTTAATGAAAGCACAGTCCCTATCAAAAGTTTAAGACCACCTGAAAAAGGGCAAAAAATCATATTTTGCATGGTTGGACCTTCACAAGGTTACAGGTTGAGCTTCAACATGCAACAAGAAGAAATGGGAGTGAGACAGAACATTATTTTGAGCATGCAGTTTATTGAAAACAGTGTTTGAAATGAAACAGGCTGCAGCCCCGTGCTCAAAATAATGTTTTGTTAACTCCCATTTCTTCTTGTTGAATGTTGAAGCTCTACTTGTAACCTTGTTAAGATCCAACCATGCAAAATATAAGTAGAATCCTTCACTGCTCATATCAACACTGGGGATAAAAACATAAAGTTCACCAGGGAAGACATAAAGGATAACTGTTTGCCATTGCTGGACTGTTGAAGGGAATCAAAACCTCAACATTGAAGTTACCGGAAGCCCACACACAAGGACCAGTACCTCCTCTTTGACTCCCATCACCAACACATATTGGGAGCGTCTAACATCCAGAACAAGAGCACCCCAGCATTCACAGCACACCTGACATACTTGTTGACACTGTCATACTCACAAGGTTTAATATCAATACCTTATTTCACGTTATCAGCACTCTCTTTTTTTTTACACCTTGTGCACTTATGTACTTCTTACCAAAGATATTTATGCTTCATGAATAACAGAGGATTTCATTACTGCCAGTCTAGTTAGCACATAATGGAGAATAAGAGATTAAGAAAGCACCCTGAATGATTTGTAGCCTTCATGTCTGCCGTAAGGTTTGCTAAATTAAATCTATTAAATGCTGCCGCAGTGTGCAGCTTTGTTTATGACTACTGTTATATTGCTGTGTTTGTTATGTAAAACACCTCTCCCTACAGGTTACGACTATATTAACAATGCATGTGCTCTGTGTTCTGTCATTGGGTATTTCATAATGATAAATTATTATTCAGGGTTAGATGTGTTATGCATTTATTTCTAAATGTATTTACAACTGTACAATACAGGTGAAGATATATAACTGGGAGAAAGACATTGGTCATGAAAGCTCTTTGGGTGCCTTGAAAAGCACTATGTAAATCCAATCCATTATTATTATTATTATTATTATTATTATGAACCAAAAGAAAAAGATAGAAAAGCAACTGCTAATTTAAGCTTAGTAGCATCATAATGTCTGATCAAACTGACTGGTTAATATGACTGCCTATAAAGCAAGAGAAAGAGACGGGGAGAGGGAGACGGGTAATTTCTGTACTAGCAAAAGACATCTAAAATCCAGAATTAGAACATCTTTATCTTTTCATAGCAGCAGGGTCCTACTATCAGCATCCTGTTTTGCAATCTTGGTCTCTTTTCCTCTTCCTGTCAGCTATCTTGTATTCTTCTTTGGTCTTTATTTGTCAAGGTTCTGGGTCATTTGACTGGGTGTTTCATTCTGGCAAGATTGACCTGGCGAACAGCAGCGTGTCTCCTGCGTTCACTTTCTCTCATGTTTTACAGGATCGTAATTTGGCTATGCGCCCACCATAGTGGGGCCTGTAACATCAAGCTGGTGTGTCAGTCTACGTTTCAGTGTTTCCTGTTTTATTGTGACAGTGTTGTGTTCCATTTTCAGTGTGTTTAGTTTTGCTTCCTCTGTCTTGTTGTGTCTAATTAGCCCCAGCTGTTATTCCCTCCTGTTTCTTGTTCTCCCTCTTATTCCTTATGTATTTAAGCCCTCTCTTCCCCCCTGCCTGTTGTCCTGATCACCCTTTTGGCTGTGGTTTCCTCTGTGTGTGTAATGTTCAGTTTCTCCTTGTTTAGTTTGATATTTTTTCTTTCAAGCGATAAAGCTGTGGGGGGTTTTTTAGATTTCCGTCCAGTCATGCCTGCTCCACAAAGCTTTGGGACAGTATTAATATATAAAAGTGGCCTTGTCCTTTAGTTTGTTCCTAGAGTTTTATCTTTTTACTTTTTGGATTTGTTGTATATTTCAGTCCTAGCTGATAGACAATTTTGTTATTTAAAAATTTTTATATTTCTGTATGTTGAATGTTCACTGTTTCCTGAATCAGCAAACCCTGCTGTATTGATTTTTTTAACTGTGAATTTTGAATTAAAACTAACATAAAAAGTCTTGTTTATACAAGGAGGAACGAGAAATGCGCATTTCCACTGTGGTATCGCAAGAAATTAGTGGTTATATAAATATATGAGTATGCATAATAGTTATTATTCATAGATACCTACATCCTAAGTTCCTGTTATTCATCTGAAAGAAACAGAATGAGTGTGTTGTTACAATGGTAATGCCAGGAGAGGCAGTAGTGGTTCTGTGTTACATTAATGTGTAAGGAAGTGGAAGAAGAGTGTGTCCTGTAGGAGGCAGTAGAAAATGGATACTCCTGTTCTGTATATGCACTGAAAAGAAGGTTCAGTAAACCAGTTGCAACGATACTTCATTGTAAGTCTCAGTTATTGTATTTTTATTTTTTGAAGATGCAACATCCACCAAGAGGAGCAGCATCTGAACCACCCAGGTTGATCATGAAGACTCCAGCCTGTCCAGAAATTCTAAGCACCAGCTGTCTGTTGAATTTTAAGAGTTTACTAAAGTAAAAAGAAAAGAC